GCGTCCCTTCCCTGGAAGCCAGGGCATCCCTTTGCCCGGGCGTCCCTTCCCATGGAAGCCAGGGCGTCCCTTCCCTGGAAGCCAGGGCGTCCCTTCCCCCTGGAAGCCAGGGCGTCCCTTCCCTGGAAGCCAGGGCGTCCCTTCCCTGGAAGCCAGGGCGTCCCTTCCCCTGGAAGCCAGGGCGTCCCTTCCCCCCGGAAGCCAGGGCGTCCCTTCCCCCCGGAAGCCAGGGCGTCCCTTCCCCTGGAAGCCAGGGCGTTCCTTCCCCCTGGAAGCCAGGGCGTCCCTTCCCCTGGAAGCCAAGGCGTCCCTTCCCCTGGAAGCCAGGGCGTCCCTGCCCCTGGAAGCCAGGGCATCCCTTCTGGAAGCCAGGGCGTCCTTTCCCTGGAAGCCAGGGCGTCCCTTCCCTGGAAGCCAAGGCGTTCCCCCAGGGCGTCCCTTCACCTGGAAGCCAGGGCGTCCGTCCCCCCTGGAAGCCAGGGCGTTCCTTCCCCGCTGGAAGCTAGGGCGTCCCTTCCCCTGGAAGCCAAGGCGTCCCTTTGCCCGGGCGTCCCTTCCCTTGGAAGCCAGGGCGTCCCTTCCCTGGAAGCCAGGGCGTCCCTTTGCCCGGGCGTCCCTTCCCCTGGAAGCCAGGGCGTCCCTTCCCTGGAAGCTGGGCGTCCCTTCCCTGGAACCCTTCCCCTGGAAGCCAGGGCGTCCCTTCTCCTGGAAGCCACGGCGTCCCTTCCCTGGAAGCCAGGGCGTCCCTTCCCCCCCCTTGGAAGCCAGGGCGTCCCTTCCCCTGGAAGCCAGGGCGTCCCTTCCCCTGGAAGCCAGGGCGTCCCTGCCCCTGGAAGCCAGGGCGTCCCTGCCCCTGGAAGCCAGGGCATCCCTTCTGGAAGCCAGGGCGTCCTTTCCCTGGAAGCCAGGGCGTCCCTTCCCTGGAAGCTGGGCGTCCCTTCCCTGGAACCCTTCCCCTGGAAGCCAGGGCGTCCCTTCTCCTGGAAGCCACGGCGTCCCTTCCCTGGAAGCCAGGGCGTCCCTTCCCCCCCCCTTGGAAGCCAGGGCGTCCTTTCCCTGGAAGCCAGGGCGTCCCTTCCCCTGGAAGCCAAGGCGTTCCCCCAGGGCGTCCCTTCCCCTGGAAGCCAGGGCGTCCCTTCCCCTGGAAGCCAGGGCGTCCCAAGAAACCATCGCCTGTCCGGGTCAGTACACAAGCTGTTGCGAAGCTCAGAACCTCAGAGAATGACGTATAGCCTGGGTACCCTCCGGTCATTTCACATGGCTATGGAAGATGACCCCACGCGTTTTCAGATGATTTACTTATTAACAATTGTGATTTTCCATAGTTCCCAGAGGGTGATAGCTTATATCTTACGTAACAAGTATCGAGGAAAAGCATCCGGATGTATCCCCTCAGCAAATGCTTCAGCCGGGGGCATACATCATAAATAGGTTCAAGGGGAAATTGTGAGCTCCAAAAGTTTTTGGCTCCTGGCAGTTGACCCTTGTTGCAACATGCATTCCTACAAATGCCACGTGATTTATTGGCTCGTAAGCCAAGCATGTAATCCGGCACCTTGTCTTGAGGATTTAATGGGATTTAACAACATCCTAGCTGGGTCTGAAAGGATGTGGCTATCTTTGAGTTAGAGTACCATCTTTGTGATGGCTTTCAAAAGGCGAATCCTATCACTGATGGCTGCCATTCTATGGATCCACTGTTTCGGGACCGAATGATTCTATATCATGTACCTGGATTCTGGACATGAAAGTTATCTGGTTGGTGGTTGACCTACCCCTCTGAAAAATATGAGTGAGTAACAGTTGGGATGATGACATTCCCAATACATGGAAAAATAATTTCATGTTCCAAACCACCAACCAGTTATAATATCCATATGGATATGAAAGCCATATGATATCCAGATACATGATATCCAAATACATGATATGCAGATATATGATATCCAAATAAATATTTAACCAGCCTGAAACAATGCCATTTGGATCCATTTGGCGCTGATTCCCTTTACTCACCATGATTTCGATTGTGACGTCGTAGCTACGTTGTTAATGAACGACATGTTAACTATAATTCTCCAAATGTATGATACTGTATTAAACTTCTTAAAGTCTTAATACGGTATAAATTCAATGTATAAAAAAGGATAATGTATAGTATAGGGATGTAATAAGATATATTCCAGAGAAATCCAAACGATCGTTTGGCTAGGGCCCAGCCTCTCCATTTGTTGGGGAGTTCATTAGATTTCATGAGGATATAATATTATATAGCGGGATATAGCCCCAAAATGCCTCCAGTAAACAGACATGATGGGCTGGGAAATCCCCGAACTAAATGGGTGAATTACCAGAAATGATTCGTGAAGTGTGTAAGTAAACTACACGGAAGGATCGTACAAACTAACAAAGTATCGATCTATCATGCTGAACACATGTTCATGCCCGATCTTAAAAAATCCTTTGCCCGTACAAGTTTGCTTTTCTTGGAGCTTTCACTTTACTAGTTGTTTTTCCTGCATCATCATAATCATCATCATCCTCCTCCTCCTCCTCATCCTCTTTCTCCTCCTCTCCTCCTCCTCCTTATCAGCAGCACAGGCAGAATTCATTTTGGGACAAGGTCGGATGGTTCTGAAGCCAAACCCCTAGTGAAAAGCTATATGGGAACATTGATACGATTGTCCACCATCAAAATGGTACCACACTGCCAGGACACGGTAGGTTGGCTCTTTGGTGGTGTAGATTGACCTGATGCAACTGGGGTTGGTGGAGGACCCTGACATCATAACTCTCACGAAATAAGCAGTCGTACTAACAGTCTTAGTAGAAATACAAGCGAATGTAAATGATGATCACACCACTACAAAGCAATACTAAATAAACACGGGTAACAGTCACAATAACCTTGAACAACACATCACAAGCATCTGTATCTTGTTAGCAAACATATGTATCTTTTAATCAAACAATGGAGGTTTCCTAGAATGGGGGTAACCCCAAATCATTCATTTAGATGGGGTTTTCCAATATAAACTAATATAAACCATCCATTTTGAATCAATTTGGGCTATTTTGGGGTACTTCCATGACTTAGGAAACATCCAAAATCCTGCAATGACAAGTTCGAAAACATCCACTGCCATGTCCTCACATTTCGCCACGTGATTTGGCTGATCGAGGGATCCTCATCTCATCTCATGGCCAGAGCATATCCCATTGTTACCTCATTGACACATGTGATATTCCAGGTCCCCATTATCCCGATTCTTATATATATTCTTATTACATTTATTAAATAAGATATCCAGAACTAAGATTGGTGATATCCCCATCTTCCATATTCTTCAAATACCCTTTGGTAATTCAACACAGCTATGGAACATCATCATCAGTTTTTAAAGCTTTATTAAAATCTATTTTATCAACTGTCTATAAAAGGGTCATTTATCGTTGTTGAAAGATTTATTGTGCATCTATAAAAAGGCAATTTAATTCCATTTTCCATAGCAAAAATCACCGGAGGCGAGAGGCAAAACTCCTTCCTGGACGATCTTGGACACTACTGAGCCCCCCTACGCCCTTGATGCATTCTGGAAAGCCTGAGGCCTTGAGGCGGGAAATCCAGATGTGTTCCATAATCCATATACTGTACATTGGTGGGCCCTTTCCAACTCCAATGTTTTGTAAATCCGATGATGTGAATTCCGTCGGGACGGGTAACTTTCCCAACATAACCCTCAGATGGCTGTTGCAGACAATCTTCAACGGTTGCGTTTAATGGGAAATGCCACTCCCTTGGCCCTTAAGTGGGTAGGTTCAAGTTAAGTAATTTATAGTCATTTTATAATACTGATATGTTATGCCCATGTCCAAACAGGATTGTTGATAGCTTTCTGATTGTGTCCCCAAAATCTATGCTCCAGGGCACAACTACCCAAATTTTCCGAATATGGGGAATCTACGGAAATCCCTGTGACCTATGCGTGTATGCATAGTATGTCCCTTCCTTCAATGAGGCAGTCCATCATCTGATGTTGTCTGGCTCAGCAGTTTCGAAGCGAACATTCTAGAATATTCTCAATGTCTGGACATTGAAATGAATAATTATGATATAAAATGATATAAACATGTATCGCAGGATTCCAACCAAGTTTTTCATATGTCAACTCCTTTCAATGTCTTTTACCAGCAGCAACAATAACCGATGACATTTGGGGACGGGTCTTTCCAGAGAGATCCGTATGATACGGATGGACCTTATCCATTTCCATCATGTTGAACCAAAAATCAACCTGTACTGTCCTACATTTTCCGAGAAATCAGGTCAAAATAAGGCCTAATTGACCCATAACAGTGTTCATGTTTTCTGAGACTAAGCTATGCACTTTGTCGGCTTCATATTTTTTTCCACCTTTCCTGTATCTTGAAGCGAACTGCCGGGGTGAGACGGTAGCTCCAAGCTGCTCTGAAGTGGCACATCACAAAAAACCAACTGGGAATTTGGAGCTCTTGATGACTGTTGATGGTTTCAACCCATGCGGGAAAAATATAAGTCAAAGGAGATCATTCTCCTAGGGTTGACAAAATATATACAGATATATAACTAATATCTAATATCTATATAATCATATTTATTCATATTCATCATATTTGAAACCACCAGCTGGAAAAGTTTTTGTTGCAATCAAAGTCTCCAAACATGACTGGAACTTCCCGTTAACACGAATGATTTCCTTTGGTTTTCCGCATAGATGTAGAAATTTTTGTTCTGCTATGTGAGCACTCAATGATCTGTAGGACTTCCAAGCGTCATCACCCATCATGTCGGCCAGCAACTTGAAAATAGCCAATGTGGCTCAATGTCGCTCAATGACATGAACAAGCATCATTCTGCTAAAAATGCTGCATCAAATCTATCACATGGGTTTGTCTGAAAAGAGGGAACCCAAAATGTGTTGGTTTATCATCCTTTTCCTCATTGAACCAGCCATAAACCATGGATATCCCGCATTTTCAGACAACCACACATCTGTTCATCACTAACAAACCATCATGAAGCCTTCACAGAATCAAAGCTTTGATCGAGGGCCCTTTGCCCCGCCGCTGTCGATGCTGTCGATGTCTGCGGTTCGGCCTGTCGGTGTAAACAGCCTGGTCAACTGGTTGAAAGTTTTCAACAGCCTGAAGAATCTTACTGCTGTCACTAAAGGCGACCCCAAAACCATGCAGGAAAGGAAAATCCTATCCGAAAAAGGTTGTAGATGACTTTCACATATTTTTTGGGGGCAATTGCCCCTATGGAACCAGCTCACTTGCGCCCACAGAAACGATTCACTTGCGCCCAACTTCAGCTGGACATATCTTCATGTACAAGAACAACCATTTAGAGTTTTCTTTTAGGGGACATGGGGGGGACTTGGGCACCGCGGGGTTGGGGGGGACTTGGGGACCAGGGGACGGGGAAGATGCTCTTGATGCTACGTTGATGATGTGTTGAAGTAACTTGGAAAACGCTCCTGATGCTACGTTGATGATGTGTTGAAGTAACTTGGAAAACGCTCCTGATGCTACGATGATGATGTGTTGAAGTAACTTGGAAGACGCTCTTGATGCTACGTTGATGATGTGTTGAAGTAACTTGGAAGACGCTCTTGATGCTACGATGATAACGTGTTGAAGTAACTTGGAAGACGCTCTTGATGCTACGTTGATGATGTGTTGAAGTAACTTGGAAGACGCTCTTGATGCTACGATGAAAACATGTTGAAGTAACTTGGAAGACGCTCTTGATGCTACGTTGATGATGTGTTGAAGTAACTTGGAAAACGCTCCTGATGCTACGTTGATGATGTGTTTGAAGAACTTGGAAACGCTCTGATGCGTACGATGATGATGATGTTGAAGTAACTTGGAAGACGCTCTTGATGCTACGTTGATGATGTGTTGAAGTAACTTGGAAGACGCTCTTGATGCTACGATGATAACGTGTTGAAGTAACTTGGAAGACGCTCTTGATGCTACGTTGATGATGTGTTGAAGTAACTTGGAAGACGCTCTTGATGCTACGATGATAACGTGTTGATGTAACTTAGAAGACGCTCTTGGTGCTACGATGATGATGTGTTGAAGTAACTTGGAAGACGCTCTTGATGCTACGATGATAACATGTTGAAGTAACTTGGAAGACGCTCTTGATGCTACGATGATAACGTGTTGAAGTAACTTGGAAGACGCTCTTGATGCTACGTTGATGATGTGTTGAAGTAACTTGGAAGACGCTCTTGATGCTACGATGAAAACATGTTGAAGTAACTTGGAAGACCCTCTTGATGCAACGTTGATGATGTGTTGAAGTAACTTGGAAGACGCTCTTGATGCTACGATGATAACGTGTTGAAGTAACTTGGAAGACGCTCTTGATGCTACGATGATAACGTGTTGAAGTAACTTGGAAGACGCTCTTGATGCTACGTTGATGATGTGTTGAAGTAACTTGGAAGACGCTCTTGTTGCTACGATGATAACATGTTGAAGTAACTTGGAAGACCCTCTTGATGCAACGTTGATGATGTGTTGAAGTAACTTGGAAGACGCTCTTGATGCTACGATGATAACGTGTTGAAGTAACTTGGAAGACGCTCTTGATGCTACGTATATGACATCTTGAAGTAACTTTGAAGATGCCCTTGATGCTACATTGATTGTAGAAAAAATGAAGCATGCACGTTGAGCATTGGCATCATGGTTCTAGTGACATGCTGTTTGACACTCCATGGTTCTAGTGACATGCTGTTTGACACGCCAAAACCCCGCAGTGCTGAGTAACTTGAGTGGAAAGGGGCTACGCGGGCACAAGCGAGACAAATCCGCGGGCACAAGCGAGGCCGTTTCCATTACTATGGAGCAAAGATTTTAATGTTCAAAGGGGTGAATATATGTATATATAATATATATATATATATTATATATAAAAACATATGTAAATAATTATGTACACATGTGTGTGTGAATATGACAACAGGAGTAACGTCCGGGAGATGACAACATGTTCATTTAGGGTGCAGTGGTAGAACATTGATGTTTCTGTGCTTCTTATGATACACATCACAGCCATTCAAAGCCAAATCTTGGATGGCCTATGATGGCCTGCACAAAGTATCAAAAGTTGCTTTTCACAAGCTGCAGGCCGTCGATTTTCATATTGATGGCAACCAACTAACAGTACCATCTGGTTATTTAACAGTTTGCCATGGAAAATCACCATTTTCAAGAACTGTAAACCATCTATAAATGGGCCATCGAAACCATGGCTACGTTGGTCATAACCAGATGGTAACTCACCCGTCGTGACGGATAAGAAAGGGGACTTAGCGCAAGGAGATCACACGTTCAGACTGACCGGTTGTTGAAAAATGCCCTCCATTTCAAAGGGAATCTTGGCAGAATTGGGGGATGAAACCATCTGGAACTGGGCTGGGGGCTGGTAAGATCTCCACCTTCAAAACATCTTTAGCATCTACAAGTTATCGTGATTTCACAGCCATTCCCATACAACTACTGGAGCTCACCTGGCAACGTCTTGGAGAATCCACCCCAAAATCATCCAAAACCAGGGGTTTAACATGGTTTACCCTCTGGTAAAGTAACATAGCTATTGAAAATGACCATTTATGGTGGATTTACCCATTGAAAATGGTGATTTTCCATAGTTATGTTAGTTTACCAGAGGGTATCCATATTCTATGGTTAAACGTTAATTTCCCTTTTTCAGATCCAATCAACCACCATTTATCCATGGACTTTCTCAACATACAATTTTAAGACATGTTGTTTTCCACCCCCATCGGCCCCAATTCCGGACCTTTCAGCCTGTTGCTGGCCAGAAGAACCTGGGGGGGGGCCAGTGCGTGTTTTTGGAATTCCGTGTTTTTGCCGCATAAACAGCACCCTCTGGGTGGATGAAGCATAAAAAGGCATAAAACATAAGTATTAAAGAGGCCCGAAGAAAAAATCATCTTCCATGACTTTCAAACTCCGTGAATGCGTTGGGTGGTTTGGAGGCTGGATTTGTCCTGTGATCCTTTGCGATTCCGAGGAACTTTACCTCATAAGTTGTAGCATCCTGTCTTCTTTACCGGTTGGTCGTTAGCTTCATTGCATCCCTGATTGATGGGTCGCTCTGGGTGGGTATCGTCTTCAATGCACGTGTCAAACTATGAACGTGGAATGGATGCACCAGGATGCAGAGATGCCTTAATATATCTAAATATCCAGTACAACATGTTCATTGGAAACATCCAGGTTAATATCCATGTTAATATCCAGGTTAATATCCATGTTAATATCCAGGTTAATATCCATGTTAATTGGAAACTGGTGGTTAACATGTTTTTTTCGCCGGTCAAACCTTTGCATCTCGGCAGGTGACACAGTTCTTGGCTCCGATCACCGCCATCTCCATAGCACTCGCTGTGCCCTCGATGGCGTTGCAGTAGAAGAGGCCACGACCTGCGCGGTAGCGACCAGAAAAACATGAGGGACTGTGAGCAACAAACATGAGGATTTAACAAATGTCACCAGAAACTGGGACAAAATGTGTGATTCTAGCAATAAGCTAAGGATTTGAGATTTCACCGACAAAAATCAGGCCATTCCAGACGGAGTCGCCATCCAAACAGAAGGGGATGTCTCGCTTCCGCTCATCCGTCTCATAGACAGGATAGGCCCACCATGCGAAGGTTTCCTCGGATTCCGGCATGATCAACAAATGTGCGCTGGCAATGGGTCAAAACCATGTTACCCTATTCACACCAAAATAGTAGTTGTGAATGTTCGTCCCCCACTCATCCATAGGTTTTGCTCCATCCAACTCATCCATCTCCATCCGAAAAAAAATCGAACAATTGCTGCCTGCAAAGCACACGCCTTATCCCAAAACATCCACGTCTAAAAGGAACCATCCCCCGCCGAATGGGCCAGGTTTCGCAGTGCGAGTCCTTGGGAAACAAGGCATCCGGCTTCTCCAGATCCAATGGTGCCTCCGGGGATTTTTAACTATCCAGGATTCTTCAAAACCCCCATCCCCCAGTTTGCTAATACAAAAAAACAACACGAGACTTGTAACTGAACATGTTGGGTTTAATAGCCTCTTAATAGATTATAATAGATTTAATACCTAATGAATCACATGCCATACAACTACTTCACTACATATATTTGACTACTTAAGGGGGATGCAATAAAGTAAATCAAATTCATAACACTTGATGTGGCCACGGGTCAAACCCTGGTACCTTCTGTTCACATCAAAAGAGCTGGTAGAAAGCTGGATGTTCATTCTCCTCACATTCATGGAACATCATAGCTTTTAATCCATCTCCAATTGGTCCATATACCAATCACCTGTTGGTTTCAACCTCCTAAAAAATACTCGTCATTCAGTTCGGATTATCATCGAAGTCATAGGGTTGGACATAAACAATATCTCAATCATCAACTATCGCCAAAAAAAATGTTGCTTCTTACCCCATGATATCCCATTATTGAACCCCGGCCACATCAGTCAAATTGTTTGTGAACCACCAACCTACAATTATTTGGGATTGTCATCCCAAAATAACTCTATACTTGGGATGACTATCAAACCACTACCCTTTGGTAAACTAACATAACTATGGAAAATCACCATTTTTAATGGGAAAATCCACTATTTCTATGGCCATTTTCCATTGCTATGTTAGTTCACCAGAGGGTAACCAATTGCAAGTTGACGAAATGTGAAGAACTCTGCCACCACTAAAACCCTCCGAAGCTTTGCGCCTTGCTGAAGGCCTTCCACAGCACAAAGTCATCACCTCGTAGACTCGAGTGACTCATGGAACTATCGTCCTAGGTGTTTTGCTATACTAAATTGCGATTCATGATTCATGGTGAAAAAAATATGTGTTATGAAAATTAGATAGTGATAAAAAGGAGGATGTCAGTACAGTAATATAAACAATGGCGAACAACCTCCAATAGTCATTAAATTACACAGAGTTCTATGTGTTCGACAGTATAGCAGTATAGCTTATCACTCTTGTAGTAGGAGTTTACTCTGTGGAAGTTGCGATTTAGGCCGCATATTTTTTGCGGTCGATTTTCACCATTCCATGTTGAATCAGTCAAGTTTCACGAAGATTCCTAGGTCCTAGATTTTTGGATGATGTTCCCTGCTTTTACGTTTCGAAATGTCCAACTCGATGGCTCTGCCGCTGTTTTTTCCATCTCCAAATGGAGGGGTGTGCCCCCAGAAAACCTTGCAGTTAGCCTGGAAATTGGTGGATCAAAGAATGATTTCAGCAAATCATGGACAATGATAGATACCCAGCAAACGATCAAAAGTTCAAGTTGTACTAAATATGAAGTTGTACTAAAGCAGAGTATCAAATTCTCAGCTGTTTTGCCTTATATATATCTTGAGTTGTAGCATTTTTTAGGTGATTGATGGTAGTTTCTCCAAGCATCCATCCCGTTGGATTCCCCAGTTATATCATCTATACATCTCTGGTGGATCGTGGTTAGTTCACATTTTTTCATGGATTAATCCATGTTTGATACATCGCCATGCCCCAAATGAGCAGTGTTCAAAACATTTCAAAACCTCTTTCCTACCATTACTCTATACTAGTCAGTTGACCGGGATTTCCACTTCATGTATTGTGATAATATTGATAATTCCCAATGTCTAAGGGATAGGTGAAGAGCACACCGAACTAATGATCCAACATCATTCATCAACTATATCCCTATATCTTTGATGTCTAAAACTCGTCAACACCATTCACAAATATTCAAAACCTCTGATGGTGAAACAATCCCCTGAAATCCATGAAATACTCAACCCAACCATAATTCAAAAAGTTTGATATTCCCATATTTCATCATATTTCTGGATCATATCCCCTAACAATGCTGGTAAACCTTGCAGCCTCTGCTCAGTCGTGGCTGCATACCTGGTAGAGCAAGCACCGGCCCAGTCGCCCGTCGTGCTGTCGTATTCTCCGACGCTGTTGAACTCTGCCTGGTGCTGCGAAGAGTGTCAATGGGATGAACTTGGGAAGTTGGCGAATGGTACGGGGGCGCCAATTCCAAATGTATGGGGGGTTCCATAAATGGAGGTACCCCAAAATGAATGGTTTATAAGGGAAAATCCCAATCTAAAATGGATGAGAACTGGGGGTACCCCCAGTTTAGGAAACCCTCAAATGGGCTATCGAGTTAGTCAAGTTGTCAGGAAATGGATTATGATTGGGATATGGGTATGGGTCAAAATTAGGTACCCCAATAATTGGATGGTTAATACTAAACTAGACTAACATCTGTGGTCCCCTAGGTCTTCCATTTTGACCCACATCCATATAGGGGTTTAGAAGCCAGTTCCTAACCAGTTAGCTACTCCCATGGCCCATCTAAGGATGATGGTACCCATGATGAGGTGACTCATAGCAATACTAGCATTCGAATTGTTAATACCTTTACTGAATTGTCACAAAAATGCTCAGTTATGATGAGATGACTATATAATATAACAAACACTGTTATGGTTAATTATTCTTGTAAGGTAACTTCAACACAATAACCTTACCCAATTTCCCTTATTTTTAACGGGTGAATATTCAAAACCACACAACCTCCTTACGTTCAGAACATTGTGAAGAAATTATGTCACCATGATTTACCTAAACTATATCACCATGTGATAGGTAGGAACATTTATTTTAAGAAACATTCAATTTAAACATCTGTTTTATAAAAAAAACATTATAAAACATCTATGTTAATTCAGAAACATCTAACATCTACTTACATTTATATATTTACTATCTTCAGGGCGCATTCCAGCAACATGGCTTGCAACATCTTGCAACCAGTTCAACACATTTGAGCCGTTAAAAATAGCCCGTCAGTTGATAGGTTTCCCTACTACAGGTTAGTTCATATCCCCAATAACACTGTTATAATATAACTCCTTATAATACCCTCTGGTTATTTAACATAGCCATGGAAAATGGCCATTTATAGTGGTTTTTCCCATTAAATATGGTGATTTTCCATGGCTATGTTAGTCATAACCAGAGGGTAACCAACCAAGCAGGGTATTCTTAATGGCTCATTTGGACACCAACTGCCCCATCTTTGGGGACAACGGGACATCTACCAACCCCTGAAATTTGCTTTAAGCCGGCAAAGGTAGGATCATCAATACTTTATATGAGTTTCATTTGGTTTCTATACATATTATACATATTATATACATATTACATATCAGTTACATATCAAGCATATGATATAGTTTCTCTATGTCTGTACAGCTAAAACCATCCACATCCATTCACCAGGAGCATCGCAGGATCTTCCAGTTCCGAACGGATCCTAATCTTGGAAAACCCCCCAGCTCTGTGGCTTTGGGTTCCAGGTTCCATCAGCTCCGGACCTCCTGAGATGTGCTCAAGATGACAGGAGCAGGATCTTTGCCCAGTCTGGGAGGCGAGCTGTAGAAACTCGCGAAGACGCGCTGATAACTCCTGCGGGCCCGGGAATCCCCTGATAATCAAACATGGCTGGAAAACGCTCCTCAAAACCTCCAAATTTTTGTTGGGGATTTCCAAGGTTACACCACAAAACTTTAGACTGTGGAGCCCAGCTATATAATTATTTGTAGCCAGGAGGCGAGGAGATACTAGGGATCCATCATTTTGATTTTTTCTGGACAGAGTGGACAGCTGGTTCGCATTGCTTCGCCATCCCCGTTTTGCTCTTGAAAACCTCCATTGTTGGGTCAGATCCTGTCAGATCCTGTCAGATCCGCATATGTTTGGTACAACGAACATCCAAAATTTTGCTGCTGAAAATCCAGAGTTTTTGGTGGTCCCAAAAATCGTTGGTCAACTGCCCCTTTTGGCCCGTTTCGAACCTGCCAATCTGGGACGCCTTGTCGGCCGGGGTGATTTGAATGTCGCCAGGAGTCTGAATAGCTGCTAGGAACACCAGGTCGTAGTCCTGGCGCTTGGATGAGCTTGGGAGGCAATCTCAGCATTGAGGTGACAATATGATCTATGTATTATGATGGTGAATCTAGATGTAATCATTACCATCTGGTTATGACTAACATAGCCATGGAAAATCACCATGTTTAATAGGTAAACCCAGGTAAACCATCTATAAATGGGCCATTTCCCATGGCTATGTTAAATAACCAGAGGGTATACATATATATATATATAACATACACCCATGCCCCTTGACATGGTACCGAGCTAAGAAGGGATCAAGGGAGCAGCGCCATGTAGGTTATATTATATGTTCATTTCATAACGATGTATGGAGATAACTTCTACCACCGGCAGTTTCCGATCTAACTTCCATTTCTGGGGTACTCTCTTTGTCTCTCTGGTCACTTCAACCGGGAAAATCCATGAATATCTCCAAGTGCCATGGGCAAATCACTCACACATGGGGCATGTTTGATTGCCATATTTGATATCCTGGGATGATCCGGGAAACCAGTCCTGGTCACAGGTTGGAATGTTAGTTGAAAAAACATTCTAGGCTACAGGATTGCAGATTTATTACAGCTCCGATTACAGCTCCTATCAAGCCAAAGCTATACCGCACTTTCAGAAATCATCCTAACAGAAAGACAAAGGTAAGCTTGGTGTCCCAGGAGACCAGGAGACGAACACTGGTGACCCATCGTGCACATGGGTGTAGGACGATCACCCAACGGCACTACTCTGGCTGCATCCCAGGTAGTAGGTATTCATATGACTATAACCATATCATAGCATGTCAACCCAATTACAAATAGAATGTATGGGTCATAATACAGTTTAAACCACATAAGTACTAATTGGGATGCACTTCCGAGTAGTGTTTCAACCTGCCAGACCTTCCGAAAACCTCCGTATCAACCGTCCTCCAGAAGCTCTTTGTCCCTGGAGTGTGCCCGAATGCTGTAGCGGTCATCTGCTGCCCGAATCTCTTGCACCTTCGCGTGGATCAACTTGGCACCTGCACGGTAGGACCATTTTTCGCCATTGGTTGAATGTCAACTTACTGGAAACCATAGATTTTGATGGATTTTGCTGATCTTTTCACATGTTACCGATGGCGGCTTTACTATAGACCTTCAGAATTGAGATCCCAAAAGAGACGGCATGCTGTCCAAAGAACATGAGAACAACTAAACACTTCCAGGAATTGACTTGGTTCACGACTTAAACGATGATGAAACAGTACGTATGCACAACACCCCAAAGTGGCAGGTGTTTTTTTGTTCGTACTATATGTCCAAAAAAAAAAAGAGTAACATATAGAGTAACACTTCCCACTTGAGGGGGTAGTTGCTGTATGTTGCTGTGTGATCCCAGCGTTATTTCAGCAAACATGTGTCACCCGAAATGCAAGTTTTGGTTTAGACAGGCGCGATGTAATCCTGGCTTCATCCTCTAGTGATCGTACCCGTTGCACTCCCCGGTAGTGAAATTTCAGTCATGGCTGGAATGTACCATTCTGTACATGGGAGCAAAGACATCCAGTTACAACTGCTGGGGTCGAAAAAGACGGACTTCCCAAAATGGGCTTTCCCATTTTATCATCCAAAATTGCTATAAATTGCACATGTTTAGAGACGAAACACATGGTTTTAGGATACCCCAAATCATCAAACAGCACTGGGAGGATCCAAGCCGCTGGCGGACTTCAACAACTTCTCGGCCAACAAGTGATTGCCGCCCTTCACCGCCCATAGCGGTCCTGGAAAAGGGGGAGGGCCTGGAGACGCCTGGAAAAGCCATTTCAAATAGGGAAAACCATGGAAAACCCATCCCAGGTCCCCAATTGTTACATCCATTTTGGGCTTCATGCTAAGTCTTCAGGCCGAGCTTAATCAGTTTGGGGTCATTTTGAAGTTTCCCAATGCACGTTTCACTGCTGGGTGAACGCCTTGAGAGTTGATCTTCGTTGACTTGGCCCATCCCGGGTGCAAGGCTTGCAGGCCGTCCTACGAAACCACAGAGGGCGACAGCTCCCACAAAGGCACCTACATCCTGGGCCATAGGGATGTCAACGGCTAAGACATCACTTGCGCCTCCACAATTTCATCACTTGCGCCTCCACATCACTTACATGGAAGCTACAGACTTAGAAGCCACTTGGAAGCCAAACTTAGAAGCCACATGGACGCCAGACATGGAAGCCACTGAGCAGGCAAACATAGAAGCCGAATTACCGACGCACACAAAAAAAGCCATATAGAAGCCAAAGATAGAAGTCACTTAGCATAGAAGCTATATTGACGCCAGACATAGAAGCCGGTGCGCAGGCAAACCCAAAGGCCATATGGAAGCCAGAGATAGAAGCCACTTAGAAAGAAACGCCAAAGATAAAACCACGAAGATCAAACATAGAAGCCCTATGGACAAAGGTAGGCAGCGTACTAAACACTCGTCCGTGGCACAAGCGATAGAAAACTCGAGGCATAAGCGACGAAAAACACGAGGCACAAGCGATGTGCCGACCGATGCCAAGCCCCAAAAAAATGCCGCGGCCAAGGGGGACAGATATGGACAGATCCAGTCATTCCAAAAATGATTTAAGAGAACAGCAATGAAGCAAACCCTTTTGGGATACCAGGGACTCACAGAATTTCATCCCAAATGAGCTGATTATGGGGATCCCTCACGTCCGGCACTTCCATGGACCCCTTCGTGCTGACAGATCTTGAAGAGACCTGTCCACTAAGCAATCTGCTGTTGGCGATATGGTTCAATATTGGGTATCACAAAACAGCATGTGTCACAAAAAATCAATACGTTTCAAAACTCAAGGATAAGAAACATAACGATACTATATACATTATACAGATCAACCATATACCCTCTGGTTATGACTAACATAGCCATGGTATAGATGGCCCTAATCGAAATAGATGATTTGCCCAGCTAGAAACCTCCATTTATAATTTATAGATGGATTTTCCATGGCAAACTGTTAGTCATAACCAGAGGCTATGGGTTCTTGGTGACCCCAACCGGGTCCTCATTTTACTGCCGAGGATCCAGGCCCTGACCATAGTTGATCCTGACCATGCCTGGCAAATACCCGGCCTGGTCAACGAACTAACAGTTTTTGCGATTGAAAATATGGCACCATCTATACATTGAAATCGTGGATTAAATAGTGGATTTACCCATGAAATTAGCATGGTGATTTTCTATATATAGTTATGTAATGTTATGTACCTATTGAAGATGGTGATGTTCCATAGTTATGTAAACGTTTACCAGAGGGTAGATTTGGATAGTGAGCCCCCTGCAATCATCGACCAACAGTGGTGCCTTTGGAACACTGCTGTGGAGGCACCCTGACCCATGTCCCCATGCAAGAATCTGCTGGAAGTGGGTGCTCCCCAGTCCAATGGTGTATCAATTCCCCATGTAAAACATTGAATTTTATATGATAAATATTGATAAATCCTCCATGTTCAGAACCAAAATCATAGTGTTGGTCGTTGTTGGTGATATATCCATACTATCCTGTTACATCTCCATATTATGCTGTGCTACATACACCCATTTCTGGGTTAATTCGTCTTCATGGCCTCATGGCCTCCACTTTCACCGGCCTTCCACCAACTCCTCCACCATCTGCTGCCCGAAGCCATCGCTCTCGAGGCGCTCTCTCAGGGTCTCGGAGAGCATCGGAGGGAAGGCGCGGTCGCAGGCCTCTGCGACCAGGCCCAATATGCCCAGAGAATCTTTGATTCAAAGGGATTCCACCAACAAACATGGTGAGCATTGGTGATGACGATGCATATAATTATTATGTTGATGATATCTATAATATGCTTATATTATGTTGATTATATCCATTTTTATCACCAACATGAATGTAACTTGATATAATTATGAGATTTCATGGGAAAGTTCTGGTGAAGAATGGTGAATCATGGCTTTAATCATGGATACTTTTTTTGTGATATTTATGGGATTTATCCTATCATAATCAAACATGGCTAGCTGGAAAATCTCCCATGTATCGATTTTTTTCCAGCCATGAACCTATATTTAGAGAATTTTTATAGATACTATGGAGGATATCCCGAAAATTTAGATTTAAATACTATAGATACCTATATTTATAGATACTACTATGGTTCATTTTTGGAGGATATCCCGAAATGAACGGAATGATCTTGGTTTGTCAGTTCACAAACACGCACTGCAGATCACAAAATTCGAGGAGAATGGGACGCTCCGTGGAACCGCCTCTAAAAGGCGTCTTGGAGATGTGAAGGCTTTCCTCAGTCCATTGCCAAGGTATTCCATGCCTGGAGGGCCCCAGTCCTTGAATTATGAACAACTTTGAAACACATGCAAATCCCGTGCATTTCCGAACTCTAGCCTCCAACCCTACGTATTTTCGGAGTCAGCCATTGGCTGCAACTACATGACTGCCAAGCTGCGACTCCTCTTGCAAGGTGTAGATGGCTTCAAATTTCCTTCCAAGGACCATCGGGGGGATAATGGGACCATCGGGGCTGAAACCAATTGGTTGCCTCATGGAGTGACGAAATCAGTTGAAATCACGGGTCTGTAGGTCTGTAGACTTTTGTGGAGATGGGATATGCAGTTGTAGGATGTTGTAGGCCAATGCGAACTGCACATGCATCTCAAGAAATCAGACTTGAAGACATCAAATGAAATTGGTCGAGAGTCTATCTTGGTTTAACCCCCAAGCCACACATCATATTTTCAGTCTTGGGCTCTTGGGCCATAGTAAGCTTTCCCGCCCCAAGCCTATCAAACACCCGAGGTGCGCCTGAGGAAACCTTGAACCCACTGGTCCATCTTGAAAGGCCCCCAGCCGTATCCTGGAGATGAAGATCCAAAGATGCAGAAAAAAATTCAATTTCTTACCTTTCTTTGGGTTGGAAGTTGAATTTTATACATGTCTGCATCTAACTTTGGGGTTGCTATACTGCAATCAGAGAATATGCTATATGAACATAACCCCTTCAAAAAGGGCTCATTCTGGTGGGACATGATTTTGTTCGTTCACAAACATGGCTCACAGTCAACCCATTCATCCGGTGAATCCAGACCCAAAGCATCTAATCACTTCCCCCATCTGGTTATTTTCCTAACAGTTTGCCATGGAAAGATCCACCATGCTATTAATAGATAGACCATCTATTTCGATTAGGGCCATCTATACCATGGCTATGTTAAATAACCAAAGGGTAATATTCAATAGCCACAAACTTGGGAGACTCAAACTGAACAGATCCAATTACAAGCCAGGCTTGGGTGTGGGGCCAGTGTGATATTAGTGGAAGGGTTTCTTCCAACGAATGAACATCAAATCTGCCCCAGTCGAATCAGAAAGCTTCCCAGTCCGAGCTTCTCCAAAGAAGCTGCAATACCGCGATAAACTTCCTGAAATGGAGGATTGACCAATCATCAACTACATCTGGGAACATGCCTCTTCTGGGGAAAATATGTGGTAAAAAAAGTGGAATCATCAACCCATGGGAAGAGCCATTTTTCAAAGCATCAACCCATTGGGGAATCAACATGCCTCATCTGGGGAAAATATGTGGTTCAACGTGGGAATATATATAGTGGAAAATCCTGAGCATTTCAAGTGACAACAGGATACACATCATGGACTTGCCAACAATAACTCGTAAAATACAAGAGGTTAAAGTATTTATGCACTCCAACCTTGGGGTATAAAACCAACTATAACCAACTAGAATCTATGGGGATTGATATTCCCATCATGTTTACTATTACAACTGCAATATTTCAGGGGTCGTTACCGATTTTCAGGTACCACACCCAAGTACTTGTATATCGGTTTGTGTCCCCATTGAATCGCATTAAATCCCTATTGTTGATTGTTAAACCAAAATGTTATCACTTTTGGCCAATTTCTGTACCCTAAAAAAGCTCCACTCGGTTCCTAGCCCCGTCACTTATATAGTGACAACCGTGCCTTTCCCAGCACGAGCGTCGTCTCACTGGCCTCGAAGACTTTGCTTCTCCCATTGTGGAGCCACAAGCGCATGGCGGGTGGGCTCAACTTCTGCAGTTGAAATTCATCCGCGAAGTCCCACAAGTACCTCGGGATTCAATGAGCAGGACACCCATTTTTTGCGTTGTCAAACAATGTCAAACATACTGTATTGGCGAGATGAGGGAAGAGTCAATGAACAAAAATGTTGATACGATTTCATACGATTTCAATGCGTTTGTTCAACAACAACTGTCCGATACTGTTGGACTGACGCAGAAAAACATGAAGTCACACTCCCGCCTATACAATCATGAGCCCAAATGGTTCAGCTCCCTCATTCCACAATGTGCTATAACATTATAACTATATATCAGCATGAAACGTTCTGGAGCTGAGTAGTAGAACCCCATCCAATCGTCAATCAATAGCTTTCTTCGGCCACTGCTCATGTGGGATTTAGGTGTGTCACCCAACTTCTGTCAGAACGCCAAAGTAGACACACCGTTGCAACTTTTTTTTTAAACATGTGACTTGTGAAAAGATGTCGATGAAGTCTGATCACCCCACTTGACAGCGGATTTCGAGAATTCTGACTGCTTGAATTGAATGGGAGGTTAAGAAACTGTGAGAAATGCTGCCAGCGATGCTGATTCTTCTCATGAATAATGGAAGCACCGGCCTGGTCGCAACACTTTCGTCTCGGGCATGTGGAATTCTACGATCAGCTCATATCCAACAAGAACTTACAAGAAAAATACACAAAAATAAATACGCAAAACATCACAAGATATAAAATGATATGAACACATTCTCGGCCCAGGCCAATCCTACTCAATTTTGATACATTAGGTAAACCCACAGGATAGTTTCAAGACCTGCCCATAAAAATAATCAAATTTTGATCTAGAAACTCTAAAAACTCTCTTCATGAGGGTGAAAGTCGCAAGAATCTGCAGATCCTTTTTGAAACACATGGTTTCCCCACGACCAAAAGAAATGGACATGATCCATCAACCTGCGCTGACCATTGAGTCAATCCGCCCCAGATTTGTCAATTGTTCACCCCGGCCACGCGAGAGCGATTTGAGGGATTCTCATGACACAAACAGTCGGCCCCCTGCAGAAAACCATGAAAATCATGAAACTCTACATTTCTGCAGTCAAAGAAGATATGAAAGCAAGGCATCGGTGCAAGACCAGAATGGAGACAACACCTTTGAAACATATCATTTTACGGGAACATATTTGAAGCCTAACCACAAGAGATGCGTTTTCTCAGCCCGGGTTGCCCAACTTTCAGAACAGCACTATCCATAAATCCTGCACTCCTGGGCCTCATAGGAATGTTTCCCATGCTGGAAGACCCTTGCTCGTCCGCCCACATGCTCGCTGCGTTCGTAGACGTGAATCTCTGCGTCTGGGAACTCCTACCATGGCAGGATTTTTTGGAAACGGTAACAAGAAGGCCAAAAACAAACCATCGTTTTTTGTTGAGACGTATAGCAACAATGGCATACTTATCTACAGTTGACATCACTTTGCAATTTGATGAAAATAATTCTGTGAACAAAAATACGTACTATCAATTATTGATACTGCAAATATACCTGGATACGACACTTGTTATTTTCATATCGCTAGTCGGCTAGTCTTAGATATCCTTAATTAAGCCATCTTTGTTTTGAGCTGGATAGAAACCATAAACCCTAGCTTCTGGAGTTATACACCAACTTTGCTCACTATACTATGATTATGGAAAATATGTGGGAAAAGAAAGGACTATATTATTATCACATATTAAAACATATCATAATATATTACATGTATAATATATTATATGAGATAGAGATAGAGAGAAGAGAGAGCTTGCTCGAAGAGTCACTCACTCACTTAGCCAATCATTCCGTTCTTCTTTCAGTGGCCCATTCAGCCATTCAACCATTCAGTCCGTTAGTCATTCAATCATTCAATCACTCATTACCCTCAGCAACCCTTCCTTCCTCTTGCAGGTAAGTCAAGCCACTATCAGCATTGATAGCATGTGGAAATGCCTCACAATGAACAAAACCCCATGATAGAATGGTTCAACTACCAAGAATTTGAAGATCAAATGCAACAAAAAGCAGACTTTCACTCAGCCCAACAATATGATTATGTTTGACCATGTCAAAATAAAGTCTCGACTTCCCAATTTTCAAGTCTTGTTGATCAAATCAAATCCCACATTTTTTTTTCTAGCTTCACCTATCCCCATATTTAAAAAATCTACCCTCTGGTAAACTAGCATAGCTATGGAAAATCACTATCTTCAATAGGTAAATCAACTATAGATGATGCCATTTTCACTAGCTATGTTACCCTCTGGTTATTTAACATAGCTATGGAACATCACCATTTTTAATAGGTAAACCATCTATAAATGGGCCATTTTTTATGGCTATGTTAAATAACCAGATGGTATGTTGAATTACCAGAGGGTACCTTCTAGCAATTTTACATATGGAAGCCATGGCCATTCGATGATCGCACTCCTCCCGGCAGAAGCGCGCAGCACTGCAACCCCCGAGCCCAGCTCCCACCACTGCAATTTTCATGGCGAAAGTACTGGAGAACTCTGGGTGGATCAAAAATTGGAAGTTGCCACTTTTTGTTTGTCCATTTGCACACGGAAATGATTTTAACCTAACATATTTCCAACCATTGGATTTCAGCCCGAAGAATATCGGGGAATAGCAAGTACTTCACATATCCACCCCAGGTCGACATGGCTATGGGTCAAGTTACATATTCTCCAGGAAAAGCACCGAAATCATGGGTGTTTTCTTCGATGTTTCAGGGATTTGTCGTGCGATTCTCCACATCATTTGTCAACTGCTGGGTGAATATCTTGAAGGACCAGGAGTTGAACATCTATGATTTTTATTGACTTTTGACAAACTTCAAGAAAACCCCTTGTCGTGTGAGAAACCGAGAAACTTGTGTCCTCAGCTGACTCAGCTTTTTGTCGGCCTTCCGTGTTGACCCAAGGCGTGAAATTTTCTGCAGCCAAGCTTAACGATATCAGAGAGGCAAGCTGTTCAAAGGGGGAACACTGCCTTCAGTTGTCTAGTTCCACCTCGAGAAATTGGAAAAAGCATGAAAAACCGTAGAAAAATATAGAATTGTATGTGTTCCTCTTCAAGAACACCGTGCCACTAGAATTGTCTCAACCGATCACCATCTGTACAGTATCAAAATCTCCCAACAACTATTCATTTTACCAGTACCCATGCTTATTCATATGTATCCCTACAGTAGAATCTGCATTTTTCTGGTTAGATATGCAAGCATTATGGATTGTAAATTGTATGGCTGACGCTTCACCATCCGCAGGGTTTTCCCTTCTGGTTTGACATCAACTGGAACTCCATGCACCAGCCACTGCCCTATGTTGGCATGTATCCCTCCCATTTTCTCACGTTCCTCTTTTCATGTTTCAACATTCTTCAGCTTAAGAAGAGTCACTGGGATGAACAAAACGCAAGCAAGGATTGAACCAACCACCCCTTCAGAATACCGCAGATAGAACTAACATGTAATCATGAAACACTATGAACACATAAGACGCAGACGTCACCGTATCACACGACCATTTGACAAGGTCAACAGCCCATTGCATCCAGCGGTTTCTCATCCTGCTTTTTCATTATGGTAATTCTTCCGGTGCCATATCAATCCCTCCATTGTTAAAAAGTTGGCTATCCTCCCCGCCCACTAACATACCCATATCAACGGTACACAGATACATCCGTTGATGATAAAACTCCAATTTTGGTTGGCCAAACCCGTTACAGTACCATATTCTATCCCCTGTTTTCGCTTGGATAACCCAGACCATCCCCATGCAGGTTCTTGGCACCCTAGTTTCAGACAACCTCTGCATCCCAACTTCAGGAAAAACCCTCCGTCCTGGCCTACATTGCCCATTTGGTGGTCCCTTTG